GAGAGTGATCTTTGGACTGAATATTAAAAATCAAAGATTTAAAAAGACTGTTTATGTGAGAATTAATAGCCTGGTTTTGTTGACAGTTGAAGTCTTCATCTGTTACCATGGCATGTTTTAATTCACTGTCTGCATTGGTATTTCCTTCTGAAGAAATACACAGGCTTGTTGCTAGTACCTCTAATATTAAAAACGCCGTTTGTTTCTCGTGTTCCAGGTGATGATTTCTGTTTAAGTAATGTTATGGTACATAAAGTTAAGAGGAGGTTAACCTGGTAGATAGTGTTACAGATGTTCCTCTTTCTCCATCACATGACTGTTGCCATCAAAGATAATTTTGTCCTGGGCCTAGGCAGTTCATCCAAGTCTTCCAGGGAGATAAATACAGGCAGACAGTACTTTTCAAATAGAATTTAGAAGCGCACAGGGAACTTAAATTGTTTTCTGAAAGACTTCTTCATGTGTTAAGAATGGTACTGTAACACTAGTTTCTTTAAAATTTTTTCATACATGTACAAAGCCTCCTTTCCTGCAAAAAAGCCAGTTCATGTCCAGTTCATTATCTTATACTTGCAGGCCAGCTCAGTGGTCTGCTTTGGGCAGTTGTCTTCAGAAATGCTCCACAATCTGTCTTTGTCATGGAGTTTAATGCTAGTCATTTGATTTAGTCCTTTTTTTTTTCCCCCAGACAGACAAGCTTGACTCTTGAAACAAGTTAAAGAGATCTCAACTCTAGTTCTCAGTGGACCAAAGTCCAAATCACAAAAACCATTACTACACTCAATAGTAATTGGTCAGTGGTTGTAAGTCCAGGGAAAGAGGTTGAACCAGCCACAAAACCTGACCACTCAACATGGTTCCTCAGTTCAAGGCTGAGGGGTAGTGGTGAGCCTGCGTGAGTCAATCTGTTCTGCTGCTAGAACTACCGTCCTGGAAATGAGAGGATTTCAAGCTCAAAGCCTGCCAGGTCAGACTTTTCCATAAGCATTAAATTCACACACAAGTCTTTTTTTTTTTTTTTTTTTTTTAAAAGAGCATTGCTGTGGTGCATTGTCCATTTTGTGAAGGACATACTTTACCCAATGTTTGTGCCAGGTTGACTGAGTCTCAAAAGAGACCAAGAGATTTACTGGTAGTCTCACAGTGAATCATTGTCTGAAATCCTTTTGGCTCCTGTATTCTTAGCATTAATCAACAGTGATTCCTTTCATCCACTTGCTACCAGAGTTTAGTTTGTATGTATCATGACTGTGTTTGGAAGGAATTGAACTGCAGTGATGCTAATGTAATTTATCTTACTCTTTGAATTTTGTTCTTTAAATATAGAGTCTTAAAAAGAGAAGATCTTCACAGTAATCATCCTATAATATTTTCTCCCCCTGCAGCGAAAGCTCCATAACCTTGAGAAAAATGTAAATAAAAGTTGACACATTCTTTACATATTCTTGAACGGAATGTGTTTATCTTGGTTTCACTTAATCTGATGATAGTTCACTGAACAGCATTTTTTTCATTAGTAGCAAATGTCAGAAGGCCATGCAGCTTATAAGGCATTAACATAAGGAAATGGCCAAGTATGTATAGTTCGTTCTTGTTTGCATTTGAACAGCAGTACAGTATGCTGTTACTGTACAAGCAACTGGCATAGCAGAAGAGGCATTTTTAATTTAGGGCTGTTTAAGTTATCCATTTCTATATTTCTTATTTTTGTGGTGGATCTCATTCAGGTTAGATATTTTAAAAAGCAGAGTTAATAGGTGTACCTAATTTACTCCATCCTTGAAAGCACATTTTTCTAGGAAATTACCATGATCTACCTCAGGCCTCTTTGAGGATTGTGATATATTTTGTGACTTGGAGCTCAGTAAGCCTATTGTGAGCCTACGCTGTAAAGTATTCACCTTTACTTGGTACATGGGGTTTATTTTCAAGTGGACCAAAAGCGGTTTCCTGAGTTTGCGTGCATAGTTTTTTACTTCACTGATGTCATATGGATGCATCAGATTTAGAGGGTACTACTTGCTATGGTATAATTTGAATCACCAATAAGCTGTTGATCCAAGTGAAACTATTAAGTGTAAACGTGGAGGTCGGGATTGAAAACAAAATGAATGGCCTGTAATTTTGTATATGGTACGCTCTAGTAGCTGTCTTGGTCCAACAAATGACCATTTGTTGTGGTTTAACCCCAGCTGGCAACTGAGCCCCACACAGCCGCTCGCTCACTCCCCACAGTGGGATGGGGGAGACAATCAGAAGAGGAAAAGTGAGAAAACTGGTGGGTTGAGATAAAGACAGTTCAATAGGTAAAGCAAAAGCCGCGCACGCAAGCAAAGCAAACCAAGGAATTCATTCACCACTCCCATGGGCAGGCAGATGTTCAGCCATCTCCAGGAAAGCAGGGCTCCATCACGGGTAATGGTTACTTAGGAAGGACAAAACGCCACAAATCCAAACATCCCCCGCTTCCTTCTTCTTCCCCAGCTTTATATGTGGACCATGATGTTATATGGTCTGGAATATCCCTGGACACAGCTGTCCCGGCTGTGTCCCCTCCCAGTATCTTGTGCCCCCCCCAGCCTCCTCACTGGTGGGGTGGGGTGAGAGAAGCAGAGAAGGCCTTGAGGCTGGGTAAGCACCGCTCAGCTGTAACGGAAACATCCCTGTGTTATCAACACTGTTTCCGGCACAAATCCAAAACACAGCCCAGTACCAGGTACTGTGAAGAAAATTAACTCTACCCCAGCCAAAACCAGCACACCATCTCAAGGATAACGCTTGATTAATTTAAATCATATATCAAATTAGTTTTAAAAACTATGTGGCAGAAATGCTGCCGCTAATTAAACTCAGGCATTCAAATGTTTAGAAAGGAGCGATTAATAATTGTGAAAATAAAGAGTAACCATAATAGTTTGTATAGCACTTTCCGGCAAGAATCGCAAGTGACAAAAAGATAGCTGTGTACATCATGGGTAGTTGTGCAAAATTTCAAATGCCAGTAGGCCAGAGAAGAGAAGCTGAGACTTTTGAATTGGATTTACTCCTTTGCAGAGCTTGAGGAGATAATGTCTAAGCACTGCCGCAGGTCTGACTGACAAGTGGGTTTAAAATGGAAAACACCGTCTTTCACCTTGCGATCCGTTTTTCCAATGCTTTTGCGCTGCCTTTCATCTCTTTAGGCCCCCCCGTGCCACCCTCCCTTGCTGGGCTCGCTCAGCAGAGCCACCTCTCAGGGCAGCACGTGGAGTGCCAGCCAGTACGGGGGGGTTCAGTTGTTAGACGAGTTAGACATCGGGCAAACGGCACGGTTTCATGCCTAATAGTATCGCTTAAATCAAACATATCCTCGTGCAACAGCATTTAAAGGTCAAAATCCTGTCCTCATTACTCCATATTTTAGGCCTTCTGTTTTGCGTTTATTCGTTGTCTGTGCAGAACTGACAGACTATTCCGGAGCCCGGTTGTGTAATGTTGGAAAGTGCTAACAGCTGCTGTCCAGCGTGTCTATTCAGGCAACTGCAGACCTTACGAAAGCTGAAGCACATGCTGCGCAGCCTTAGTTCAAGCAAAATAAACCTCCTTCCCTGAAAACAGTGGAAGCTGCCATCGAACAGACCATGCCGCCTACGCTCAGGACTGACCCGCGTAGGCTGGGGGATTGCCATAGGGAAATTTCCGCAAATGCTGAAGCTGGGGCATCGTTCGATTGTGATGCTCAGAGGTAGAAAGCACCCAGAAAACAAGAGGAAGGCTGCAGATCGGAAAAGAAGTTGCAAGCGTGTCTCTGCGAAAGCAGCAGAAGCATCCCTGTAGTAGCCAGGAATGGGTGGGAGGTCACGCTTGGAAACTCCGAGCCTGAAAGCCTGCTGGTGTTACATGTTCTTTATTTGAGAAAGCAACACTCTGTGTCCTTTCTTTCGAAATAAGTAAGGGTGCTCCAAAGAACAGTGCTTTTCTGTTAAGTAATCTGTTCTTACCTGTCATCTCAGTGATGAAAATGTCTTTGTGGCTAGCTTTGAAAACCCCTCACCAGCAAAGGATTAAAAAATACCAGTAGGCTTAGTTAGCCCAGTCCTGCCATACTCGAGCTGGCATTAGCTTTGGACAGAGGTTCTTAGGTAGAAAGTCAGCACTTGAGGGGAATGAAGGGATCACTCTGCTCCTGTGAGGAAGCAAGAAGCCTGGCTGGAGGGGATTTGGGCGCTGTAATCTAAGTGAACCTCTTGTAACGGGAATTGGAAATTATGCCAGTCGGGTCCCTAAACCATATTCTGAACTGGGGGAAGAAGAGTGCCCAAGTCTTATTTTCAGACTTCAAAATACTTACCTCAGCTGTTTGGCAGCCGGTTCTGAACATTTTTGTTAATGAGTGGTATATGGTACTAAGTCTGCTTTTAGATCTTTTTTCAAAATGCAGCCTATAGAGAGGTTTTCTGAACATTTTACGCATTAAAGCCATTTATAGTTGAAAGATGTGAAGACTTCATACACAATTTTTCATTCAAAAAAAAATAAAAGAACCTCTTCAAACTCTTGACCTGTTAGAGTACTTACCTGTAACTTCTTCCACAAATGCATTTGAATGGTGAACATAAGTGGCAAAACTTTGGTTGTGACACTCATTTGTTTTTATCTCTAGCACAAAGGAAACTACACTTAATGGAAAAAAATGAGATTTTTTTTTTTTTTTTTTTTAAGCATGGAGTCTTAGAAATCACTCCCTATTAATTTGGTGTTCAGTCGTGTAACTCTTCTTTCTGAAGGATGTGTATAACATGACATTTCAGATACTAGTACATTTAGCTTATTTGTTTGTCACCTGTGTACTAAATGTGAATGTGTAGGACTGTTTTGTCTTCCTTCAGATAGCTATATGTTTATATGTATACAGCGTTCCACCCACTTCCCCCACTGAATGCCTAGCTATTTGACTGTTATGAAAACTCAAGGTGTTGTGTGTGCAAATCCCTAACGATAAGCATTTATTTTCTTTACAGCAGCATAAGAAAGAAGTGTTGAGAGCTGCTCTTAACCCTTTTGGAGTCCGAAGTCAAAAGGTAAAACCAAATGCTAGTTTTTGGGTGTTGATATTGTAATTGTTTGGAAATGCTATTTCCTTATCACATTTGAACAAAGATTTCCCACAGGAGAAAAGCAGGGATACGGTAAGAAGACTCAAAACATTATTAGACCTCTTTAAGAGCACCGGCATATCTGGGCATAAATTATACAGGTAAGTTGCAACTGGTAAACTGCAATTATCTATTTTACTTAATATGAAAACATTGGCGTTAAGAGTCAGTGGGACTTTCAGTAGGGTTTAATATTGCTAAGGATTTAATGGTTTTTGTCTCACTATAACTTGATAGTTTTTATGATATATAAAGTTTTTTCAAATTACAGTAAAACAAATCCTGTAGCTCTTTTCTCAGGCAAGAGTCCCTCAATGGGAGTTTTGCCTGAGTGAGAACTGAATGAGGTCTAAATAATTAGCAATTAAAATATTCAGTTATTGTGCTACTGTATATAACAAAGCACTGGAGGTATTAAAAATTGCTAATCTCCTCCTTATTAAAATGTTAACTGCTAAACATAATACACTTTTGCATTTTCTATCATTCATTTTTGCAGTTCATTAGTAGAGGTGAAATGTTTGTGACAAATAGTCATTTGAACTTCTAAGGGATTGACTTTGTTTTCCTCGCATTTTAGTTAGTATTTCTGACTGAGTTAACTTACAAGTGGAAGCGTTTGTCGAAGCTGTGGATTTTAGTCAAAAACTAGATAATGTGCAGAGAGTAACTTCTGATATAGCATTCGTGAGTATTTGCAGAAGAAACCAGATGGTAAGCTCCTCATCAAGAGGCAGAGCTGGGCAATTTAGGTATCCAATTTGTATACGTTTTGCTCAGTAGCTTCTTGTAACAAACTCCAGTAATAGGTTAAGGATTGTCCATAGAGTTTACTGGGCAAATAATTTTCAGTGAGGCACTAGCACGTTCAGCAACCGGTGAAGAAGCAAAGTTGGTGAAATCATTTAGTTGTGCACCCAGCTCTGTTAATTAGCCTGTGAGCTGTTTATTAGTATGCTAGTAGTATATAAGGACCAGGCTGTGCCCTCATCCTACTTCACTGCACGGAAGAGTAAGGAGTGAGACGCATCTCCTGTCTCCTTTGTCACATAGCAGCAGCAGCAGGATGTGTGGAGAGGGAGAATGGTATTTGATGAGTGAGAAAGGAGTGGTAAGTGAACGTGATAATTGGTAGAGGAAGAAGGTGAATTACTGGAAGAATTTGGTGACAGGTGAATTTCCCACAGGAAGGCGACTCCCTCAGTACTGTTTCTCCCATATCCACTCCCCGGAGTAGATTTTGTTACTTACTATGCCTAAAAGTTTTTTTTCTCATCTTTCTGAAGAGGCATTCCAGGCCTGGGCAGTTAATCATGCCGTATAATGTTGTTGGCAATTCAGGCCATGATTCTGCAAGGATTTACATGTGTATTTCACGTACAGCATTATGAGTAATCCTGTTGAAGTAGATGAGATTAATTGCAGGACATAAAGTTAAGCATGTATATTAGTCCTTGTAGTAAAAGAGGTGTAGTTTCATTTATTTATTTCTTTTCAGTGTGGAAAATTATTTTTAAAAATACATAAATACATGGGATTTTCCACCAATTTTGTGGCAATTAATGAGGAGGTAGATGGTAACAAAATAAGCTTTTCTGCTTGTTCCAAAAATCCACAATTTTGTCAAGTTCTCAGCTGTAAAGTATGGAAAAGAATAGGCTGCTATCATTTTCCTTTTTACATGCACAGCTAAACCTCCAGCTACAATGAGATGATCATATAATTTATTATAGAGGAGTGAACAGGACAGAAGTCAAACAGGAAGGCATGTGTGCTTGTGTGGACTCTTGTTTATAATTTAATCAGATTGGTGCACACCTCAGACATTTTATTTAGTGATAAGATATGCAAATTGTTCTGGAGCCAGCAGCAATACTTTCACCTGAATGTCAAAACTGACAAAGATTTTTAAATCAAACCTCAACAACAACTTGTATTTTAAAGCAGCTGTTCGTAAGATATAACTACCAACTACAGATGAGTAAGTGCAGAATTGTTTTCCTACTTTCCTTCATACTATTTTCCTTCCTTTCTTGTTTACCTCCGTGGAGGAACAGGGTTGCAGGCTTACCTAGAAATACTGGGTGTAACTATAGGCAACAGTGCAGAAGAGCTATGAATTTATATGGAAGTATGCACAAAGCACAGGAATGCAAATTGAAAGTGGAGAGACTTATGAAATGAAATTTACCAGAGAAGGTATCTTCTGGTTTTCCAGATGCCTACATCATACCTTCCATATGTGTGAAGGAATGGGTGGTGCAAACTCTTCGTTTCAACTGGTTTCTCTCTCTTTGGTTTTAGTTTTATTGCATTTGTGCCCTTAAATCAGAATGTGGTAGTAGAATCCTATGGATAGAGTGGCAAGTTTGGATGATAGCTTTTTCTTGAGACTGAGAACTGAAATTCCTTGAGGCTCTGGATATTCAGCTGCTGAGGTTTTGTTTTTGAGTGTACGTGCAGTCATGGGAGAAAGGGTGTCACTGAAAATACAGCTTGGGATTTAAATGTTAGATGTGTTTATTTTTGGAATCCTTGTTCAAGTCAGTGCCCACTGCCTGTAAAGTGATAATCTTGTGTATTTTCCCCAGATTTGGTTCCTCCTCTTCCTTCTGTGAATATGTGCACATAACTATGTCCAAAACTCTTCCATCTGAAGTTTTCCTAGGGCTTTTTTGGCTTGTTTTCTTCTTGTCGTTGTTTTTAGTCTGTGTACCTATTAACCAGAAAGATATCTGGGCTGAAAACATTTAACAAAGGGTAACAACTTAAGTATTCCTATATCTGTGCATGAGTATATATGTGTGTGTGTGAGAGAGAGAGAAAGCAGTGATTAGAGAGATGGTGAAAGATTGTTATTTGGTTTTGATTACATGCCTAGTTGGGTACGTTGTTCTGGCTCTCTACATTCTCTTATATGACTTGGTCATTGTGTCCTAATAAATCCTTCTGTATGACACATGAAAATTTCTAGTCAGTTGCTTTAGTTGGTAGCAGCCTCTTCCAGGTGGGATTTTGCTTTCCACATTTAAAAAAGAGCAAGATTTTTGTTTTCCTACAAAATGAGAAAAAAGATTTTTATGTGTTCATTATTAGAAAGATACAGCCTGTCCGTACAGTGCAAATCCCATAATACGTGCTCATGGACCTGGGGCCCATAGCTTTCAGGGTCCCCAGAAGTACTCTTTTTGGAAAAGGACTTCCAAAATACTCAAGGCTTACTACTTGTGCAGATTTAGGCCACTGCAGAACATTTTGTTTACAACAACTAATTCTAGGACCTACTTTGGTCTTGTGGATACTTAACTCCTATCCACTCAAACAGAGGCACTTCAAAATAATTAAAGTAAATGAATAATCCACACACAGAGCAAAGCCTTTCAGAGGGAAAGTGAGTTTAATGAAAGAAGAATTTGCTTTTTTTTTTTTTTTGCTAAAGAGTTTCTTTCAAGGTCTTCTTAAATATGCAGCAAATGCTTTTGTTGGAAAATAAAAAATAAAACTGAGTCTTTGATTGTCATTTCTGCCATGGCTGATGAAGTTAAATCATTGAAAGCTAGAAAAAAATAAGATGGAATTTGTTTTTTCAAGCTGAAGCCCAGGCAATAGTATATTGCCTCTCTGCAAAACGCAGACTGAGGTAGCACCGAGAGATACAGTGCATGTGTCATTATGTTCATCTTTAATGCACTGCTTTAAAAGAATTTGAAAGATTTGAAAGAATTTTGAAAGACTTTCTGGAGCTTGCTGGGGACTGCAGGGTAAAAGCACCAAAGGAGGGGGAGCAGCTGTGATGACTTTGATTTTTCCCATTTGGCTATAGGGATACTCATGGTTTAGTTGTTCACTTAAATGGATGCACTTTAAGCATCTGCTCCAGTACTAACACCGTGGCTGCAGCTATCAACATTGATACTTGCCAGTTGCCATTAAAGTTGTTTGCTTGCTGCTGTATAGGGAATAATTGCCTATAGCTGATACCAATAACCTTATTAATCTTACCAAAACCTATGCATACATATTTGATAAATGGTGATATTGGAATCTGTCATATTCTTTCAACATCAAGCGTAACAGAAAATCTCTGTTCCTGCACACGTCTTCCTTACGTGTGTACTCCAAGAGAGGAAATTCAGCTTCTTTCTTATGTTGACATTACATTTACTGTTTTTTCTGTGCTGAGTTTGATTCCAGGCATCCAGCAGCATTCCAGAGGGAGAGGCGACCAGCATCGCAGCCTGCACTGCTGCTGCTCTACTTGTCATGAATAATAGCCCACTGGGCTAGTTAATCATTACACTAACTTTTTCCTGTTCCTTCATAGCTGATTGCTGCCCAGGGGACATGGGTTATCGTAGTCTGGCTGCCAACACAAAGTTCAGTATTGTGCATGCGTGTGCGTTTTATGTTTACCTGCATGCATATGCATTGTGTTGTTCAGCAGCTACTCTAGTAAAACTAACAATGCAAGGCCAGTGTGCCTATTTTTCTACAAAAAAGGTAAAAGTGGGAGAGGTAATGTTTTACTCTCCCTCCTTTACCATTTTTGAAAATGAGTGTGAAAGTACTGGTCTCTTTAATCAACACACTGGCACAACAGGTTTCCTCATTCAGCGCTTTAAGAGTGGAGTTTCAGGATGCTAAAATTCTGTTTCTTAGAGCACGTTTGAATCATGTGGCCAGTGATTTGTGTTGATTTGCCAGGGGCCATGATCTGACACCTTCTCTATGAAAGAGACCATGTCCCAGTCCACTGAGAGTGAAAAAGTATGGGCAAGGAGTAGATGTCAGTAAAGTGTTTTGAGATTCAGAAGAAGGTATTTAACCACCACAGTTTTTTCTCAGATGTATGTAAATGTATTGATTGCCAGGGTGGAAGCCAAGAAGAAACTTTCCTTTCAGTCATTCAGATTTTCTTCATCATC